TCAGACCGGCGTTGGCCACGGCCAGGGCGGCGGCGAGGACGACGAGCTGCAAAGGAAAAATTAAAATAACAATTATCATTTTGAGAGATACGCTACATGGCACAGCCTGGGCCTGAGGTGGAAGCACCACCTGTATCAGGCCCTTCGTACGTACCTTGAAGGCCATTGTGTTTGGGGGTTGGGAGAGCGGGTGCTCAAATTGGAGAGATAGGCTGAGAGTGTTTGATCGAATGATGCCTGCCGATGCGCCCGCCAGCTTATATAGTCCAGCGACAGCGACTTCCTCCTTCCCTTTGCCCCCTCTCCTCCTGCGCCTGCGACCTGCGACTCACCGATCCACACCACACTCGGCTCCTCCACCTGCACACGGGTTCCTTACTTTCCTTCCCACTGAGGCTGCGGAGTCTTTGATCGGTGGCGGTTTTTTTTTACTGGAGATCAAAAATTGCGACTTCACCGAAAAAAGTAACAATTTTGATCCGACGTGGATTCGACGTCAATTCGGGCAGTCGATGTATTAGTCGAATAATTTCGGGATTTGACTAACAGATTTAGAAGTTTCATGGACTTGTCCACTTGTCTGTGTCTTAGTCAAGTGTTCAAAAACGTTGTATCGTGATTATGTTGCCGAGCGCCGAGCGCGTCTATTTTTCGAAAACTTTTACAATGAGGAGAGTCGACGTCAAATCGACCCCTGAAAACTAAAAGGTCGTACCTCGGAGCGGCTGCGTATAAGGTCGTACCTCGGAGCGGTTGCGTATAGTGTCGGATCTCGCCAGCGTCCCAGAGAATGGTCGTAAGTCTATTTTTTGTCGATTTTGCGAGATGCATATCATTAGAAAGAGAATTTTCTCCCGATTCTAATGGTATGCATCTCGCAAAATCGACAAAAAATAGACTTACGACCATTCTCTGGGACGCTGGCGAGATTCGACACTATACGCAACCGCTCCGAGGTACGACCTTATACGCAGCCGCTCCGAGGTACGACCTTTTAGTTTTCAGGGGTCGAAATATTTATCGAAACATTTATCAGCCGTCATCACGGCGTGAGTATCCATTCAGGAAATTATGAGAGCAAGGCGCCTGCAAGCCGCAGGGTAGGCCACCGAGCAATACACGAATGCACTCCATGCGATATGTTGCCTACCTATCAGGCGCTATGAGAGCTTGCAGAGGCATTTGGCAGTTCCACACTTAAAACTACCGCAAAGGAGTACGGTTTGCCTGCGGTCCGTCCTGTATATTTTTTGTACGGGCAAGACGGTAAAGTGAAATGGCCCGTACTTCATGGTTGTGTAAGTCAAGGGCTGTATTGACCAACAAGACAGTTTGCGAAGTTACGGTATATCCCTTACGGAGTGGACCGAAATCCAAAATTACAGTCGCAAACCCGGTGACAAATTGACGTGGCGCACCGTAGACCTTTCCCGTAGTGTACGACGTACTTTCTGCAAGATCCCCAATCCCTTACAACAGGGGGTCGCGTCGAGCAAGGAGTGGGATGGCAACCAGTTGTGCTGTTTAGAGTGCATTTGCGCCCTTGCCGTTGCAACCCAAGAGTGAATTCCCCTACACAGACTCCTATTTCCCCTGGCCCGCCCATCAAAGTTGTCATACCACCCACCCCACTATCACGGGAAGAATGAAGGGAGGGGGAAAGGCGGGCGCAGCGGGCGGCCGCCCCAAAAGAGCGAGGTTGGTATATAAGCGAGCGGGAGCAACAGCAGGGCATCATTCGATCAAACACTCTCAGCCTATCACTCCACTTTGAGCACCCGCTCTCCCAACCCCCAAACACAATGGCCTTCAAGGTACGTACGAAGGGTCTGATACAGGTGCTTCCACCGCAGGCCCAGGCTGTGCCATGTAGCTTATAGCGTATCTCTCAAAATGATAATTGTTATTTTAATTTTTCCTTGGCAGCTCGTCGTCCTCGCCGCCGCCCTGGCCGTGGCCAACGCCGGTCTGATCGGCGCCCCCGTCGGCTACGCCGCCGCCCCCGTGTCCTACGGCTACGCCGCTGCCCCCGTGGCCGTCGGCACCCCCACCCTCACCTCCCAGTCCTCCAACACCCTGAGGACCTTCGGCAACCAGGGCCAGACCTCCTACGAGCAGAAGACCATCCAGACCCCCTTCTCCAGCGTGTCCCGCTCTGACGTCCGTGTGAGCAACGACGCCCAGATCCTCGCCCACGCCCCCGTCGCCGCCTACGCTGCCGCCCCCGCCTACACCTCGTACGCCGCCCCTGCTGCCTACGCTGCCCACTCCTACGCCGCCCCAGTTGCCCACGCCTACGCCGCCCCCGCTGCGTACGCCGCCCCCATCGCTAAGGCCTACGCCGCCCCCGTTGCCCACGCCTACGCTGCCCCCGTCGCCCACGCTGCCTACGCCGCCCCCGTCGCTAAGGTCGCCGCCCCTCTGGGTGTCGCCTACTCCGCTGCCCCCGTGGTCTCCCACATGACCTACACCGGCTCCTACGGCGTCCAGTACGCCTACTAGGCTGTGATATAGTGACCTTATTTATTTCTCTATTTATTTTACTAGATGTGCCAATAAATAAACGTTACTAAAAAAACTTTTTGACAAGTTTAGCCTTTATTTTCTGCTTTTTTCCAGTCTTTTACGTTTCACTTTTTTGAACACTGAACAGCAAAGTAACCATAAGGGTGCCGGGAAGGCCATAAGTGTGTTTCTCTAAGATTTGCATTCATTGATGCTCGTTTCCTCCATTCAGACCGTTACGTCAATATAACGCACCTTTTGGAGAAGCCCCCTGCTGCTCTGTATTCAAATCGTACAAAGATGCACCCAAAGGAGACCCCAAAGGCGCCTTTTGGGAAGCGGTCTAAGGCGCTGCCTTTTTTTCTGTACACACTAAAATCTTATGAACATTTTTGTTCATAGTTACTGAGTTCTGTAAACATGCTCGGCTTACGCATTTTTAATGCGCCAGTATGAAGAAATTTGTGCATACTGGCGTATTAAAAAATGCGTAAGCCGAGCATGTTTACAGAACTCAGTAACTATGAACAAAAAAGTTCATAAGATTTTAGGGTGTAGCAAGCGACACGTAGAAAACGGTTTTCTTGATTTCAGTGCATAAGTTGAATTCAGTAGAACATGTACTAAAAAGTTCCAAGAGGCACATTTTGAGTACATGTTCTCAGCTGTTCGACGTGTATTGCAATCAAGAACACTGTTTACTGGGTGGACCTTGGCGCCTACTCATAAGTCATCTTGTATTTGCATTTCTACTCCCCCCTCCCCTTTTCAGCCTCCCATCCCTCCACCCAACCCCTATTTAAGCTGTAAGATGGTTCTTCAAAAAACGTTCTTTTTAGGAAATCAAAATACTTACTTGGACACAACTCTCCGGGAATGTTATGATGCAGATGAAATGGTATGCACTTTTTATTTCTATCAAGTATAGGGGTACTAAGCAGTTTTTCACTCACGCTATCCCTTCATAGAGTTATAAGAGGACGTATTCCGACTTATTTCCTTTCCTCCATATACAATATGCTGAAACAAGACGCTTTCCTTTTTTGGCTGAGTGGGGGGGGGGGATGAAGCAGTCCATCTGGTGACGGCTATTTAAAGTCTTTTTCTGTAACTGCCCTTTTGCTGGAGGCATAGATTAGGTACAGCTACTAATCTTTGTGGTGTATTTTGCTGGTTCCTAATGCTCATCAGAGCTCAATGAAGAATGTCACTACAAACGGCCTACTGATCAATGTAACAAAAGGTGTTTGGAGGATGTCATGACCCGCAATCTCTGTCCCCCGTACCCCCCGCTGCGTGCGGGGTGCGGGCCTGCGTGTCATGTCGTGACACTAGACCTCGCTCATTTCGGATTTCGAGTGCAGACTGAGCGCATTCTTCTTGCATATTTTGGGCGGTATTGCTTATCAGTCGGAGACAATGAGAACAAAGAATGACCACCTCTTCGACCCCCGGTTACCTAAGGGTGAAGTGTTCGAACAAAGCTTGACTTCAAAGACAGATGACAAGGATTAAAGAATTATTTATGCTTTAAATTGGAACCGGGTATAACCGAGTATAACGAGTAAATAAAGTATGAGTTGTCAAAAAGTTTTTTTTAGTAACGTTTATTTATTGGCACATTTGGAAAAATAAATAGAGAAATAAATAAGGTCACTATATCACAGCCTAGTAGGCGTACTGGACGCCGTAGGAGCCGGTGTAGGTCATGTGGGAGACCACGGGGGCAGCGGAGTAGGCGACACCCAGAGGGGCGGC